AGAGAATTTTACATAGTCGGCGAAACGTTTTCGAAGATATCTCGTGATCCACAAGGCCAATTTTGACGATTCAACCACCATTAGATTCCTCTCAACGAGTTTTACAATTTCAATTAGAAGCCCAAAGGTGGTTAACTTAGTACAAAAAAAAGTTTAGAATGATGCAGCCCACATTCGCAAAACCCTAATTTCTATAAATAAACCACATCACGTTATACTATGACCTCTCACTGGCTGACTGGAAAATCACCAATTAATATCATTAAATAGGTTTAGATAGCTAATTTTGATATTTTTCACATTCTTTACTTTTTTGTATGTTTTGTTGAACTAATCTGTGATAATCATCCTTTATGCTATACAAAAATAGCTATCATGTGATTATTTTGTATTTTAATTGGCTTTTAGATCCAAAATATTATTGTTAGATATCTCTGGCCAGAGATATCTAGAAATACCCATTAAATAAATATAAATTTTAAAAAAATTTTTTAAGAATAGATAGTATTATTTTAAAATTATATATAAATTTAATAATTTTTTTTATATTTAACTAGTTGTAAATCCAGGCGTTGCTCTGAGATAAAATTGATTTTTTAAAATTTTTTTATTTAATTGTAAAAAAGAAGTTTGCTTTGTTAGTTGTTTTTTTATTAAGTTTAATACATTTGACTATTTAGTAATTGTCTGGAGCAAAGTGAAAAATACTCTGTTTTTATGATAGTTTGTGATCATCTAGATTATGTGGATGTGTCTGTTCATCTGCTTTTGTAAATGCTGATTGGTTACATATATTTTATTATATATTTGATATTTATTGTTGTATAATAGTTTATAACAATATGTATTTACTTTATAGGAAAACTAATATATGATTAGCTATTTAAATCAATTTAATTTTATATTATTTATACAGTTTAAAGTACTTTTTAAAAAAAATAAAATTATGTTTTTATTATAAATTTAAATATTTTATACTTCTAACTCAGTTTCTAGTTTCTAGTTATATATAGTTCTATAGTTATAGTATATGTAAAAATTTTACTTTCTAAGCAAAATACCTTTAGGTTGTGAATCGGTTTAGATTCTTTCACATAGTAATTGTTGGAACTTTACTAAAGAGAGTGATGATTTTAATTTTTATTTTTTGCTTGTGAAATATTATATTTTTAATAGTACTTTAAACTGTATAAATACAATTGTAAATGAATAACCAATCAGAAAAAAGTTAGTTTATAGCTTCTACCGCGTGTATATTTTAAGAAGTTTCTAGAAGTTCTGCTGATGAAGGGGCTCGTAAGCATGTAGTTGGATCATGAATATTGATCAATTTAGGTTAATCGAAGAATATAATTCTTATTTACGTTATATGAAAGTATGTAATATAATAAATAAGTGTCTTAACGATATATGAGTGACATACAGGAAAAACTTGTATTTGTTAATTACATGAAATCTAGATGCAGCACAAAAAATACGCGATTAATCCTTAATTATGATTGGGCAACTGAGACAATCAAAAATTTAGGCCAAAATTACTCAAAATTTTACTAATAAAATCATGGCCACCCATTAAGTGAAAAATATTCCTGGTTAATTTTATCATTATGTGGGTCTACTTCTCTAAAAATTTCAATTTTAGGAATAAAAAAGTTAAAAGGTTAATTACAGCTAAAATTATGTAATGCGGGCCCAACACATGCATTTTTTTTGTGCAGTAGCTAGGTTTAATTTAATTACTATGTCGATGCTAACGATTTGTTATTAAGGCATGATCAATTATAGGATATGACAAATAATAATTTATTATATAAGTTTATATAGTAAATGTTTATTTGTTATACCTATAATTGGTCATATCCCAGTGTCAAATCAGTAAGATCAGTATAATATAACGAATAAAATTTTACTTACAGGTTTTTCTTATGCATCACTCTTATGAAATAATTAATTTAAGTGAGGTATATAACGATAAATAAAAGGAAAAAAAAAATTACTCTTTGCTTTTGTTCAAATTAAAAGCGGTACAATCGATATATTTAAACAAATATCTTTGCATTAAGCATTGCTAGTCAACTTTATCTTGCTAATAAATATATTTATGGTATATAGGCTTAAGTTACATAGTAGGTAGTGCAACTATACAGGGTTAGGTTGGCGATTTTATAGTATATATTTACTAATCGGTTTGTAAGTGAAGTAGAAGTTGCATAATTGTTAGAAATACAATATGATGAATTAGATTGGACTTTTAAAATAGGTAACTTATATTGTATATGCAGTTTATTGGTTGGAGATATCAGAAAAAACTAAAATAGTATAGGAAATTTTTGAATATAGAAATATAGGTATCAGTAATCAAAAATATATAATTCTTACATTGTAATGTGGCTGCAAAGAGTGCTAAAAAATATAGAAAGAAATAAAAGAACGTAATAGTTATAAATTGTACAACAATAATAGTAGAGAAAAGAAAGATAAGATATATTATGTTCTAGATCAAAGGTTCGAAAATTTTAAATAAAAGATAATTAATTAATTAGTTGAAAGTTAGTTTAGCTTATAATATTTGGTTCAAAGTAGGTTTTTTATATGATTTACATTTAAGTATTGAATTCACTTGTTATATCAAGTCAAGAGAAAAGGTTTAAGTTTTAGAGTAAAGCAAATTGGTAAGAATATTTATTGCTTTGTTATTTTTAATTGAATGTTAAATACTATATATAATATTTTACTTTGTTTTTTGGTAAATACGATTACAAAATGGAGAAATATTACAGAAAAATCACTTGAGTATTACATTATGTAGCGAAAATACTTCACGATATACAACATTATCTGTGTGACAATAATTTAAAGTTATATTTGAATCATTATATGTAAGAATTTTAATAGCATGATAGGAAGTAACTCTCGATAAAGTGACGTATAATTGACCATATGAAAAAACTGGTCTGGGTAGATAGATACCAACTTGATTCAATGTTTGAACTTGTGCTTTGTTGATGGTTATGGAAAAAGCAGGACGTACCAGAAATTGGCATCTTGTTAAAATGAAAGTTAAATCGATATCAGAAGGTAATAATGAAATTCAAGATATAAATACACGACTACCAATACGAGATCCTGTGATAATTTTAGTAATGATTACTTTGCTATAAAGAGCTCGACAAATTAAGCGAGTTCTATTGCAAAGTCCTTCTGCTAGATTTAAGTTACGCAGAAGCATTATAGATATACTAGCTTTTAACTTTAATTCACCAGGAGAAAGGCCAAAGATTTTTAAGGATCTTAAAAATTCAGGTGGGTATAGATAAGAGCGGGTTATATTTCTATTATCTGCTGAATTTGTGATGTCTGCACTATGATATATAGAAATTAGGCCAGGGAACTGATCTATTATTATATCAGAGATTATATCAATATCGTTATTTTTTGGAGTCAGTATAGCTCTTTTAGTTAAGTAATTAATATTATTCGAGTTTTGGATGAAATTCAGATAAATATAATTAATAAGATCTGATAACTTTCCACCAATTATGACTATATCAGAAGGGAGTGTTATTTTATTTTCTGTGTTTGCAATTATTGGGTAGGTTCTGTTTCCTATTTGTAAAAGGAACTCAGCAAATTCTTTTTGCCTCCGATTCTCATTAATATTATTAGTTTGCTGCAGTCTCATGTTAATTGTTAATTTCATGACTTTCATGTGTATCTATAATAAAAAGTGAGGTAAGCTAGCTGAAACAATATCTGCACAGAAACTATGGGTACAACAGGTAGTACTTGACAAAAATCACCAACAAAAACAATGACCTTTCCTCCAAATAGTTTATCTACTTGCATAATGTCACGAAATATACGATCAAGAGCTTCAAATGCAAACTTATTAGTCATCGGGGCCTCGTTCCAAATGATAATTTGTGCGATGCTGATTAAATAAGCTTCTTTGCTATTCCGTAAAATATTACATGTAGAAGATTCATTAGGTTTAAGTAGAATTTTAAAATGACTATAGGCTGTTCGTCCACTTTTTATTAAGAGTATAGTGATTTCTAAAGAGGCTACTGCTAATGCAATATGGCAACATGACCTAACACTTGCTAGTAAAGTATTATATAAAAAAGTTTTTCCTGTATCACCTGGTTTTTCTACAAAAAAACATTCTTCTTCTTCATTGTTAATTGCTCTCGTGATAGCATCAAATACTGCACATTGATCATTGTTTAACAAAGATATATTGTATTGTAATTTGGCTTGTAAGTCTATTATATTATAGGATCTCTCTTCACGTATTAAATGATTTAATGTTTCTTCATTATTAGTGATATTTGAAGTAATAGGGGAATTGGCATAATGGGAAAATCTTTTAAAGATTTTCCACTTAGTAAAAGTATATTTTTCAATTGAATAAGGGCTTCATATTCAATTACATTAGGAATATTACTCGCATCATCGAGATCTTGTAATTGTATATGAGCTTGATATAAAATATCCTCACACAATACTACTTTATGATTATCCTATAGCAACTCAGGTTTTACCGATTGGCAAAATAGAAGTATGTTTGCAAAAAGCTGTCGAAGTTGGTGTCCTGTCTGTATAGCACTTGCTTCAAGCAAACAGGCATCCCATTCAGTATCATCCTAAAGAAGACCAAGATAAGAGCAAGCTTTTTTGAAGCTACTACATGTATAGCCGTTGATTGTTTTTAGGTCATTGAAACCGTCGCACCTTTTACATGTGTAAGTAAAGTTCATAAATAATATCTCTTGCCTTCAGAAGGTTGTACCATGTAAAGTCACCCAATCATAGTCATCAATGTTTGTCTAGGTGTCTATTTACAGTGTGAAGAATTTCAAGTATAATAAGAAGAAAAGTCGATATAGGTATATTTATATGCCATTGGGTTGTCTATATTCTCCTGAAACCAAGCAGTCAAGGTTGTTATACAATTTTGATTATGGTTAGCGACATTCTGAAGATTCTTTTATCTTGAAATATAACATATTGGCGTCCATCAAGATGGATAGTAAGCCTCTATACTTTTAGATCATGTCTATGCAATTTATAATAAAAAATTCTCTAAATAGATTCTGAAGCCGAAACATATCTTGCATTTAAGTATATTTTTATTTCATCAATCTGGACAATTTCGGGTGAAAGTTGTTGATTATCAGTTTGATTGGAATTGGCAAATGTAATGGTTGCTCGATCATGCTCTTTGTATATATATTTATATAGGTATTTAATAGCCATTATAGAACTGCAAATTTCAACATTAATATGAGCATTATATTTTGTGCATAATTTGATATTATGTGGCACAACCTATGTATTGTCTAATTGGATTTCATCTTTAACAAAACATGCATTATTTCATTTGCAGTAAATAGGTATCCACTATCACTTTCTATAGTACGCTCTTGAAAAGTTTTAGGATAATGTTTTGTATACACACCGTCTTTCATACATAGTGCATTAGGATTTAGTAAACTATATGGACCATGTATCATCATGATTGTTACTGTCTCATAGGCAAGAGAATATATATGAATGTCAGAGATTTCAGCTGAGATGATGGAGTCATAATTTTCTGTTGTTCGTAATTTGTCATTTGAGGCAAGGATTAATAGAATATACGCATGGGGAAGACCACGTTTTTGGAATTCTACTATGTATACGTATGCAATAACTTTACCAAGCCAATAGTTTTTACACAAATCTTTTAAAGTATTTGTAATTTTATATAAACACCCAGGTTGTTAAATCAGGTCTATCAGCAGCGTTTTGATGAGATAATAATTCTCTGGTAACTTTTGGCCATTTAGGATTATATGTAAATGTGACAAAAAGATCTGGTTTTCTAAAGTGAGTGATAATTGTTATCGCATCCTGATATAACTGATACATTTAACGCGGTCTGCCTGTAAAAGAGGATAAAAGGATTATACGACGACCAACAGTGTTACTACAATCTCTAGCATATACTGTATCGATAATACCTTGATAAAATTCAGTGCGAAGTGATTTTTGATTATGCTTAAAGCAAATTAAACGATTCTGTTCTATTTTAGCATACTGATCAACAATATACTATTGATATAATCTGCCAGTATATTGTATCCAGTCACCATCTCTAATTTGCAATCTATAGGAGTAAAATTGCATAGTTGTTACTTGTTCTCTTTTTAAAGCGTCTATGAGTGATATATCTGTGTGCTACCCATCATCACCTTTAGAGAATAATAATACGTAATGAAGCAGGTCATATGAAAAATGAATCTCTAATATTTTCTGCAAATTTCCATCACGCTTTCTGAGAAGAATGTCCCGATTTGTCAAATTTACCTCATAACCATCACCTACTATTATTGTAGCTACTTCAGAGGCAGTTGGAGTGTTATAATGATAAATGTTTCAATTTCTATCGCTATGAATTATCATCAAAATTTTAGCGAATATATTGTCTTATATAAGATCTCTAATACTGAAAGTTTTGGATATACAGGTTGCAAGTATCTAGCATATTCTGTAAATTTTGTAGAATGCTTCCATTTAGATTCTGCATTATGTTATGACGGTTTGTAATTTCATGTGCAGTATCATAAATATATAGTTGAGCAAACATTAGTGTGCAACCTTTATCTAGTAATAATGAACCGATTAGATAATAGACTTGGCCATGAATCCAAAAATTTGTTATACCATGTTCTAGAAATTGGTGATCTACATTAGCACTAAAAGATATGCAGGCTAAAGCACTGTTATAAGCTCTAATGTGTATACGAAAGAAACTGTATTAGAATTAGTTGAAGTATAAAGGTAATAGATAGAGTGAGGGTTCAAATAACGGTGGTAATTGTATTTTGCCGTTGGTATAGCAAAGGAGAAATCTCGATACAGCGTATCTACTATTTTGATCTTTTTCTATCATCCAAAACTTAGCTTTGCAATATCGACAGGTCTGGTCTATTCTATCTATATCATGACATATAGTTTTACCATGGCGAGATTTTGGATTATTTTGGATATTAGTTAACTCAAGATTAGTACCAATTATAGGAGATTCAATTAAAACGATAAAGACTTCGGTAGTAAGTATGGGTGAGAGGTTGTCAGAATTAGAATCTGTATCGATAGCAGGAGGTTTAACTACAACTGTAGGGACTTCAGTATTAAGTAAGTGTTGAAGTTCTTCAGAAACATCAATATATAGGTGTGAGGTAGTTTCTTTATTTTTATCTCTAAAACATTTCTGACGCTCACGGTTGAGTTGCTTTCGATATTCTTCTGATGTTGCAGAAGCAGAATTAGTATTATTAGCAGGAGGTTCAATTACAACTGTAGGAACTTTGATATTAAGTAAGTCTTGAAGGTCTTCAGAAATATCAATAGATAGGTGTGAGGTAGTTTCTTTATTCTTATTTCTAAAACATTTCTGGCGTTCATGATTGAGTTGCTTTCGAAGTTCTTTTGATGATACAGAGCTACCGGAAAGTGTTGCCATTATTTAAAAGATGAAAAATTATATGTGAATGACAGGGATATTGAAAGATTTAATAGGGTAAATTCAAATTAATATACTAATGAAATCTGAAAATTTGATATGATAATATATATAATTACTAAATGATAAATGAATTATTGGGTAATTTATATTGAAATTTTAAGCAAAGTCAAAAGTCTCAGTTTAAATAGGTTTTGTTTGTGTGATCATTATCGGGTTACGAAGTAATAAAAATAATACGATTAATTTAAATTATAAAAATAAAAAAATAATGAATTCACGTATTACTGGTAGGCTTTGATTATAAGATGACTTATATAGAGCGGGGCTTAGAAGCAGAGATAATATTATAAATTTTAGCATTATATATAGAGCAAGACTTGTGATCAAAGATAAGGTTATATTTATACAATGATAATAATCATAACATTATAGGATTTGTAAAAATACAATTATATTATATTGAGTACTCTCCTTTGGTAGGCTTTGAATATAATTACCTAATATAGTTAAAATTTTGGATGTGTGAAAGAGAAGTTAGATAATTTCCTAATACGGGTGGGTAGGCAAAGGAAAGTTTGTTAACGAAGATGAATAGGCTATTGTGATACAATATTATATCACTATTAATTGTTTTAGATAATTATCTAGATTGTAAAGTTATATATTTAATAAATACACAATATAAAAAGTAGTAATTTGGCAGATATGTAGCGCATAAAAAAAAATTTTTATGTATAGAATTCAATACTTTATTAAAATTTTAAAAAATAAGTAAATAAAAGTATAATAAAAAATAGTAATAAATTGCGAAATTATATCGGTATTAAAAAT